ATGATCCCTCTGATCTGTTATGCGACCGTCGAGTGGCACTCTACTGATCGCGTGCTCCGACAGTTTGGTTGTTTTCAACCAATTCCGGAAGCACCTCGTAATATGGACGAGTTACATAGCTTAGATAGACGCGGCAAGACAGATACAGATTGGCTGGTGAGGCATCATGAGTGGGTCGTGTTGTGGGAGGATCGACATCGGTGCCTTCCTCGTAGAGAGCCCATTTTTGATGACCTCTTGATGTTTACTGACGGTTATTATGAGTGGTTCAACAGTAACTGGAAACCGTTTTTGTTTCCCGAGAATGCACGAGGAATGACCTTTCCGCAACGTCAACAGAGACGTTCATCGACACAACACCATCGTCCCCCAACTCGTGGACGGAGAGCAGGTGCTTCCGGTTCATCCTCAGCTGCACCAGCAGGACCTTCACAACAGCCACCGCAACCATTTATGATGTCGCAACCATATATGATGCCACCGCCACCGCCTTCACCTGGTTTTATGACCCCGCCGCCACCACCGTCACAGATGACCCCTCCTAGAGGCTATTATGGGTCTATGTTTGTAGATCTGACTTGGGGTTCATATGCTAGATATCTGGAGGGTTCAGCCTCATCACCCATGGCCGCAGTACAGACACCTCCTGTACAGTTTTCACACTCAGCGATGTCTGGGTTTTATGAGTTTTCCCAGTTTTCGCAGGCCGGTGGGATAGTCAGTCATACACCTCCAGGGTCCTTATTTCTATGGAGGTGCTTAATCGTTATCAGCTCCTCATCAACCTAATGTACCTACTCAGGACGACGAAGACGACGATGACGACGACGACGATGATGACGACAGCGAGGAGTCAGAACCAGTGATACGAAGAAATCATCCTCGAGACCGACAGCCACCGCCCTACGGAATACATTCGCGACGCAAGCATCAATAGATTTTTTTTATTATATTTGTATTTACTTTATTTTGTTAAATTATAATATTTTATTATTTCTCATTTAATACTTACTTTATTTTGTTAAATTTGTTGGACTTTTTTTAATGTATTTCAGTTAATTTTGTTTATTACCATTTAATATCAATTATTGTAATTTGGTTATCATTTACCATTTAATTCTTATTGTAAGTTTGTTGTATTTAAATACCAAATTGTTATTAGTTTGATAAAATTTAATGATTGTGTTCGTTTTTTTAATCTTCATCAACGATTATCAAATGACATTAACTTGAAGTAAATGCAAATTAAAGTACAAGAATTATTATTTGATAAACAAATACATCATTTCCTCATCAATTGTTACTTGATGACAACAAAAGTGGACATGTTTTTCTAGTGTGTCCTGGGTTTCTACAATGGCCACATCTTCTGTCTTGTCTAGATCTTTCTCGAATATCCATATCGCAATGAATTCGATTGGATTTTGGACGACCACGCTCCCTCAATAAACTCGGATTTGGTACAATCAGAAGCCAATCTTGAGCCTCATCAGGGTCTTTGTCATTACCTATAGGGGGAAACTCAAATTAGTATACCTTAAAAACTTCATATAGTAAGCATACGGGATCCACAAAATGGTTATAGTCTTGACGTGTATGCGAGCAAGCTGCTATCACATGAGAGCATGGATACTTCAGAGCTTGAAAAAACCCGTAGTCGTACGTTCTGTCCCTTAGATTTACTCTTAATGACACAGCTTCAATCCCTTGAAGAGGTCGCGGCAACTCTGTGACACGAAACATTTCATGTATTCTAGAGAAGCTTGTTACAGACATTCCATTTGATGCAGTAATTTTTTTCTGTAGATCTGCAACTAATCTAGGGTGATAGACATGACCGTCTTGCATCCAGGTTTGAGCTTGTCCCCTCAGCTTTGCAAAAAGTACCCCCAAACGAAAATATGTAGTTTTTACCAAAGCCGCTACAGGTAAGTGACGTGCACCCTTTAAGGTTGAATTGATTGTCTCAGCCAAGTTGGTCGTCATGTGTCCATATCGATATCCACCATCATATGTGTTTGTCCACATTTCTTTATCGATGAGGCTGATGTAATCGTATCCTTCCTCGTTCTTCGCCCGCAAATCTTGAAGCATTGATTCAAACGTTCGAGGAAGTAGTTTGTAACCTGATCAAAAAATGTATAACTTACTAACTTGATTTCTTTGCAAAATTAAAACGATTGAAAGAAAACAAACTACATCAGTTTCACTTACCCATGCGCACAATTAATTAACGCTCATCATTCTTCTTGTACCTTCCATGATAGTTCGCAGTAATGTGTTTGAGACAATACCTATATTGGACAAAGGGTGGTTGCCACATTGAACCCAAAGACTCCATTGCTGCTTTGATCCCAGCTCCGCGATCTGAAATGACACATATGTTTTCTCTCGTGATAACATGTGCACGTAAATTTCGGAGGAAAAAAGCCCAAGTATCTGTATCTTCTCCTTCGACAAGAGCAAAAGCAACTGGAAGAATGTTGCGATTGCCATCTTGGATAACTGCCAATAATAAAACTTGCCTGTATTTTCCATACAAGAAAGTCTCGTCGACCTGGACTACATGCTTGCAGTATTTGGCAGCATTAACGCATTGTGGGTAACTCCAAAAAACCCGGTAGAATTGGCTTCGATCGCGAAGAACTCGATCATTATGGTATGCATAGGAGCTTTCGAAGTCCACAATTATCTCAGGATTCAACGTCCGCACCAGCCTAAACCAACCTGGAAGTTTGTTGTAAGATGCATCCCATTCGCCATGAAGTTTGACAATGACATTTTGTTTTGCCAACCAAGCTTTTTTATAGGAGACAGTGTACCCATACTGCGATTGTATAGCTGAAATCAACACAACAACAACTATATGAGAGCTTGCTTTTACCATGGGCATGATGGCTTGGCATATCATTTCAGAGTCCAAGTTGGGATGATCTTGGTTGACCCCTCCAGCACAACATGTGTGAGGACCATTGTATTCTGTTAGTTCACATATGTTGTTTTTCCTCTTCATTTTCGATACGCGAACCATCCAATTGAATACGTTTTCGCGTCGGGCACAATATCATACATATTTTTCGGTCATCGATCGATTGACTCTGGACTGAACAGAATTACGGATATTGTAAATTTTTATAGCCATCAACGCTTCTTCTTTGCTTGAAAACTCCATGCCTAAATATAACTCACCATTATTTATTGATGAGTAATATCTATAGTCACCGAGATGAGGCATATCCACAAATTTTGGCCCGTACATTGCACCATAATCAGCTTCATACATGTGTGCATGAGGGTCAGTTTGTGCCATATTTCCTGGAACTTCATCATCATCGGAGTTGAATTGCGGTGATTCTGGGTGAATGAATAGTCCAGTCTCAGCATCATCCGCACCAGGCTCACGAAGCGGTTCTTCTGGTGGAGATGATGGTTCCTCCATGCTCTCCACATTTAGGTCGAAGAACCTACTACTTGCACGCCTTCCCCTTGAACTGGAAGGCATATCGACATTGACATCGAAAAAGCTCGTAGTCGAATGCCTCCCCTTGGAGCTTGAAGCCATCGTGTCAAATGGGAACTGCACAGATGGTTGCGTCGATGTCATCTCCATATGGTCAAAGAAATTTACAAATGAATGCCTTCCCCTTGAACTGGACGCGGTGTTGCCATACAGATTGTTCGTGGACCCACCTCGGTACATATCGTAAGGAGTTGCGGATGAATGTCTCCTTATTATGGCATTAAAATCATTACACATTACTGTAGTCGGGCTGTCAACTTGATCAACTTGTTCAGCCAGCCCATAGTGGGAGCTTAATGATTGACCCCGAACAACACGCACTTAAACAAAATGTGCATACATCTCAATAGCGACGTTTAAATAATTACTTTGAGCTTCAACCATCATTTGAACATCATCATTGTTTAAAAGTTCGAACGCTGTATAAGTTAATGACAACAATGATGTTGGAAATCTGTACTGCAACGACGACATTCTTCTACTACTTCCAACATGAATCTTCCTCGAAATCTTCGTTATCAGCTCCTCAAGAGTTATGTTTCTCTTTAATGATATTTAAACACGCTCATTTGATATGAAAACAACGTCGGTTTCATCTTCTTGAATTTCACCATCATAATAAACAATAGCTGAAAGTCGTGTCATTCTTTAAGTTTAAAAGTGCGGCAATATTATATCTGCAAAAAAAATAACTGAAACAAACCTGATTAAATAAATTATATATGAACGAAAATATAACATAATAAATTTTTTACACATCAACGTAAATAATTTAAATAATATAATTTTATATTATTACCTACACTGCAAAACTATTTTGACGTATGCTCATGCTTTTTAAAAATTAATTGAAAATAATTAGTATAATATTTTTTTTAAATAATCATAATAAACAATAAGTATAATAAAAAAATTATAATAAAATTTATAACGAAAAATCGCACGAACTTCTAAATCAAATGTGGGAAAATTACCAGAATTATTACTCGTTGAAGGAATTATTGTATTAATTTATAAGTTGAGAAGAGAGATGTGAGGAGATGTGAGAAACTTAACCGGGAGTGAAGGGTATTTATAACCATATAAGGCGTGGTACCTGCACCGCGCTATATGTAATTATTCAGATAAAAGGTATACCGCGGACCAGAGTCCACGCTAAATATAATTCGTACCAAGGTATAGCGCTGAGCCGGGCCAAGCTATATCCCTACGTGGCGTATAACGCGGAACAGGGGCGCGTTATACCTACGTGTAAGTCATGTCAGCGTATAGCGCGATACATGGGCGCTATACCCTACGTGACGCCAAATCAGAATATAATACGGAACAGAGAGCGCTTTACTGCTACGGGTGTTAGATCTAGAAATATAATCTGATTGGTATTAGATTAGTAAATATATTAGTCACCGGTGATTTCCGGGAAAAAAACCCCGAAAGAACTGATAGTACATAACAAATAAAACCCAGAGAGGAACATCGCAGAAGAGAGAATAGGGTAGGTTTAATTTTCTGGTTTTCCCCACAATGGCTTCGACGTTGGAACCTGGAAGCTCATCGGCAAACATTTATTTACCGGAAGAGTGGTCGGAGGCTGCTGATTCAATAGCCTATGAGTCTGTAACTTCTCCTCCTCCTTTGTCTTTAATCTGTGGTGCCAAAAACTCCGGCAAAACTACTTTCTCCCGTCATCTCCTTAATGTTCTTCTCCAAAGGTTAGGAGTTCAGGAAAGAATCATTGGTTTGTTTATTTTTGGGTTCTAATTTCTTCGAGTTTTAATTTATTTGTTGTGAAATGGGATATTGACTAAATGTTTAAATATGAACTGATATTAGCTGAAATAATTTTTTTGGTGGCTGTTTATTGCTGGATGATTTATGAGTCTGCCCCTATTTTTATTTCATTTGTCTAGTTTTATGTGGAGGGCTAATTGTAGTTTTGAATTTCGGAAGGTAAATACATCCATATGGTTATTTATTTGACTTGTTCAAGCTGTAGTCATGAAAGAGAAAATGTGTTCCTTGCTGTTTTGTTATGTTAAATGGATGGAGAAAGCAAAGGCTTGGTAGATATTGCATGTGAAACACGGTGGTAGACAATAAATTGAGTTCCTTTTGAATTGAACTGGGTTTATTTGTGGGAATTAATAGCTTCTTTCTAACCATCTGTTCGTCATGTTCTTAGCAGGTATGGAAAAGTAGCTTATTTGGACACAGATGTTGGGCAGTCTGAGTTCACGGTTCCAGGTTTTGTGTCGCTTACTGTTGTCGACAAAATTACCCCAGGTTTTCAGCTCTCTTAACACTTTTCTTTTCATCATGTCCTCTAAAGTTCTGTGTTAATCAATTTGTTCTGTTGTCGACTGACCGGAGGCTTTCTATAACTTTTGGATGTCCAAATAGATTTGGCAATTCCATGCTTGAAGACACCTGAGAGGTACTCTGCTTTGAACCTATTCTGTTAATTTTGGTTTTTGTTGTGGACTAAGTATTTCAAGACTTGAACTTGATATCTATTTGTTGTTTCGTTGTAATAAGCACTAAAACTCCTTGCTGTAACTTTCCTTAAGGTGCTTTTATTTTGGTGATGTTTCATCAAAAAGAAACCCGTCAACATACTTGAAATACATATGTGCTCTATATGATTACTATCGAGAGCAATACATGTTTGACAAGAGTGAAAATGCTGGTAGGGCTGAATTACCCCTTGTTGTCAATACCCCTGGCTGGGTGAAAGGTATACTCTGATCTGCATCCAATTGACTACTAATGCCCTTGTTTTTGTGAACTTGCTTTATTTTCCGTTCTTGTTTGGTGAAATTTTTAGTTCTTCCATCTTTATTCAAATGTAATTTACAATAACTATAATGGGAATGTTTTGTTATCTTGAATTTATCAGGCATTGGATACGAAATATTGGTGGATATGTTGAGATATATTTCTCCTACTCATGTGGTTAAGATAAACATATCTGCTGAGAGTAAGAATCTTCCAGGTGGGACATTCTGGTTAGATGGTGATTGTGATGGGATGGTTAATGTTATGGAGATCAAGTCTGCTCACCGGGACTCCTTTAATAGATCGTAAGTTTGTTTCCATCTTTAAGTTGACCTGTAAATTTTGAAATCTTGAATCTTTGTAACTTGAATTACTTCAATATGCAATTTGGCATTCATTTGGTTGCTTAATATTGTTCGTCTCTTTTTCTATATTTTGCTATTTTAGTTAGTTCTGCATATTTTCTTGAAAACATGATAATTCTTGGGATATGTGACTTTGCTTCCTACATCTTACTTTAATTTGTATTTTTCAGGTTGCTTGTACAGAAGGATGCTCGCCTTCTGCGAGATTTAAGGATCTTTGCTTATTTCAGGCAATGCTTTCCTAGTGACAAGCCTATTACTACAATCAAAGAACTTGCATATGCACTGGCTTCTCATTCTCCATACGAAGTTTCAATATCAATTATCAAAATTAGACATCTTCATTGTCAGGTTAGATACCAATTACCAATAGATGGATTACAGTGCTTTTTTCACTATAAAATTTCCTTCAAGAAAAAAAATTTGTAATCCTTTTTACACTATCTGAGGCCAATTACCCGATAATAATTTTTTTTTTCAACCCCTCAAATAATGCTTTGATGCTGTTTTGGAAGCTCTATGCATCTCTTATATGATTCACTAGTTGAGTCTACCCATTTCTCTGTTAATTCTTTCCATTGCCCAATGTTACTAGGAAGAACTCAGCGATGATCACGCTGCTAACATAACCATTTGTAGCATGAGCATATCTCATACTTTTGTATTCTAAAAACCAAAAAAGGATTCAGTACCAGTAAACTCCTCGTATAATTGTTTTTCTCTCTCTCTTTAATTCTAGGTTCCAAGCAGTGAAACATACTACAGTTTGAATGCAACTATTGTTGGCTTGGCTGTTAGTTCGGAGGAGTCTGAAGATTTACCATGGTGTGTTGGACTTGGTAGGTCATGTTTACACTGGCTTAGTTGATTGCTTGGTTACCTTGAACTTTTTTTTATGATATTTCTTTGAATCATCTTTTAGTTCATCAATTTTCCATTTGCTTTTTTAGAAAAACTTGAGAAGCCTTTATAACTATCCACGAGTTGTTAATTAATGGCATATAAGTTTATAGTTTCATACTTTTTACCAACTAGGCAGCAACATATGCTGGTGATTGTGTCACAGAAATTTATTGTTGAATATATGCTAAAATAGAAATCTCTTAAATATGAAGAATGGTAACTGAGCATTATCTTTAAACTTGCTAAGAGTAAAGCATTCTGTGATAGATAGCATGAATGGCCCTGATAAATAAGAGTTAAGACCTTGTGGGGCTTCGCTAGGGTGAATATTAGTTTGAACTATTCTAGGAAACTTCACTTCACTTCTCTTTCTTTTTTCTTGATCCCTTTATTATCCAGGAATCGTGCGAGGAATTGACACACTTAAAGGTGTACTTTATGTGATAACTCCTGTTCCACCGTGCACTCTGGAGAAGGTCAATCTTTTCCTGCAGGGTTTTATTCAGATTCCTACTTGCTTGTTGCAGGTAATTTGAGCTCAAAACTGTAATATTTTCAAAGGCAAAATATTTTCTATTTCGTCTCATGCAACCCTTTCTCTCTTCCCATTTGGGGTGAATTAGCCTGATAGACTAAGATCAGAGTGTATAGGACGCTTGCTTCTTATAACAAAAGACGGGGAGGAATAGTGGGGAAGGGTGTGTGGGAGAGAAAGACCGCCACTCAATTGGTCCTAAGAGGGTAATACAATTGTGCAAAAATTTGATAGGAGGCAGTCTTGCTGAATCCAGCAGTGTCTTGCTCATGTACAGTCTTGCTGAATCAAGCAGAGTCTTGCTGAATCAAGCAGAGTCTTGCTGAATCAAGCAGCATCTTGCTCATGTGCAATCCTTTGCAGTTTTTACTGCTAACACCTCTCTTTTCTCAATCAAAATTCCAAATTTGCTGGTTTTAGATTGTCTATGCAGTCTGTACATTCTTTTGCACTATATTATCATAAACGTATTCTAGTTCTTGCCTAATATGTACTTGTTAGTTGATGAATATTGTCATAGTCGTCTCAATTCTTTATTTTCATAACACCTTTTATGGTTACAACTTTGGTTCTTCTCTTAACAATTGGCTACATATTTTTTTTTTCATAATTTTACAGGTCAAGGGATGCAGATCACCTTACGTAACTTCAAATGTTTTGTCGGATAGGTTTTACTAACCATACGAACAGTTTTCATCGGATATCTGTTATTGATGTTTATAGGCAGTGGCCAATATACATTAGCTGTCTTCTGTATTCATTTTGAAGTGACAGATGAGTCAATTTTTGTAGTCTTTTCAAAAATATATCCATGACTCCATAGAAACTGATGTAAAACTTATTACCATAGTTAGTATTGTTAGTTTAATGCAGTATTTTACTAGTCAATGTTATTGGTTTAATGTTTCATTTGAATTATGGAAGCACGTTTAATGGTGATGTGCAGTGGCGGAGCTATATTCTTTTTATGGTAGGTAATCGCTCATCTTGGAATTTAAAATTAGTTTATTAAGTATTCATTTTTTTATATATGTGTGCCCATCTTAAAATTAATTAATTTGTGTCTACCTTATTTTTTTTATCCATCCTGGATTTATTTATACCCAAAAGATAACTACAAATTACTATTATAAGCATTATTTTTGTTTGGATTTAAAATTCCATTCATCAACCAGAATCAAAATAAAACCAAAAAGGTATAATGCAACTAGGGATGGCAACTCAACCCGAATCCGACGGGTTTCGATCCGACCCGATCGGGTCTGATTTTAAAAAAAAAAAAATCGGGTTCGGATCGGGTCGGGTTTTTTTTTAAATATACTGTTCGAGTCGGTCGGGTTTAGGGTGAAAAAAATCCGACCCGACCCGAAAAATATATATAATTTTATCCTATATATTTAGGGATAATTACAATAATGTCCTTTCATATATAATTTTTTTCAATTAAGTCACTGTTTTCATTGAATAATTTTTTTTTTATTATTTCGGGTCGGGTCGGGTGAAACCTTAATTTCGTCGGGTCGGGTCACGGGTGAAAAACCCTTTATTCTCGGGTCGGGTCGGGTGGCCCAAAAACCCGACCCGACCCGACCCATTGCCATCCCTAAATGCAACAAAATAAACCTAATATTTGACAATAGTGTCAAATTTACCCGTATTACTTTTTTGAAACATTTGTGCACTGAACGTTTATTTTTAAGTAAAAAATAACCCATGTTTAATAAAAATCGTCAATTAATTGACAGTCAACGCAGGATGCTAACTAAGTGTGCATGCGTAGAGGAAAAAGTTGACGTGGAAGTCTATGTTATCGAGATTGTTGATATGACACTGTCACATCATTTTTTTTAAATTATTAATTTAATAATCAAATCAATCATAGAGTGACACATGTCAATCTTTGATTGATGCACAAAAAAAAATAGTTAAATGCATGAAAGGGGACTCAAACCTGGGTCTTTTGGGTGAATTACTCCTAACTTCCCATTTTTTTCACTGAGTTGCCCCTTCGTCACTTTGCCACCGCCGTCACTGCCTTTAACCTCCGTCCCTTTGCAATGGTACATCTTCCTCTTTTCTACATCTTTTATCTTACGTGAATGCGTGTCACAACAACTTTTTGGTTTAAAAGATACTTTTTTTTGGAACTATGAAAGGCATCAAAGAAGAAGCTGTTGAACCCAATGAGGGAGATTAAAGTTCAAAAGCTCGTCCTCAATATATCCGTCAGTGAAAACGGTGATCGTCTAACCCGTGCCGCCAAGACAAGTAACAAAAAAAACTATTCATTTCCCCCAAATATTTTACCTTCTGTTTATTTCTCTTTATTTTGGTCCTTTTTAGGTCTTAGAACAACTCGGTGGTCAAACCCCCGTCCTCTCCAAGGGTAAAATTCCTGGAAAACAAATGTTGATTTTGAGTTTCCTTTTGTTGGTATTCGTGGTTAATGAAAATTGAAAATCTTGGTTTTCATATGAGCAGCTAGGTACACTGAGATCCTTCGGAATCACGCGTAATGAGAAGATTGCTTGCTACGCGACGGTGAGGGGAGAAAAGGCTATGCAGCTTCTCGAGAGTAGTTTGAAGGTTAAGGAATATGAGCTTTTGAGGAGGAACTTCAGTGATATTGGCTGCTTTGGGTTCGGCATCCAGGAGCACATTGATCTCGGCATCAAGTATTAATTTTCGGGCACTTCTTTATTAATTTGTGATGTAATGTAATTGAGGGTTCTTATGTTGATACTGCATTCACTGTTGACACGTCCAACTAAATTGAACTAAATTTAGATCCTTTAATAGGTTTAAGGAGTTGGTTTTCATCATAACCTTATGATTAAAAATACTTCTACTACTTGGATCGGAGCACACATGTTTGTGTCTTGCAATGATGTTTGGTTTTGGGATTGGGAGTTGGACTGGTTTTAGGATTTAAGAATGCAGTTGCTTTTCCGGTTAATCGTCCTTTGAGACAGTTAATTGCCCAAGGTGTGTATTGCTTGTTAAAGTATATGTGTAGCTTGAAAATTGTTTAATCCTACTCGAAGTCGGTATTATTTTATTCAATCAGTTAGTGGTTAACCCTCGTTTTAAACCATTAAGCATGAGTGGGATCTTGTGATTCTCTCATCTTTTATCCTTGTAACGAGGTTAGCCTGCATTGGCAGCTTCATTCTGCTAGCATTTACATATGTTATGAAGCCAATTGAGGCATAAATTACATCTCCTGTGCATTTTCTAGGTATGACCCTTCGACTCGTATCAGAGGAGGAAATTCACCCTGAGAGACCCATGTTTGAGTTCTCTGTCATGCATTTAACCATTTTCATTGTGTACCAATCAGAAAGTTGATTGATTCGAATTAATAATATAAAAATATAAATAATAATTTTTAAAAAATGAAGCAGCAGTATCACGTCAGCGATCTCGATGACATGGACTTCCACGTTAACTTTTCTCTTCATGCGTGCGCGCTTGGTCAGGACTCTGCGTTGACCGTCAGTTGACTAACGGTTTTCATCCAGCGTGGGTTATTTTTTACCCAAAAATAAGCGTTCAGTGCACAAATGTTCTAAAAAAAATAATACGGGTAAATTTGACAATACTGTCAAACGTTAGGGTTATTTTGTTGCATTATGTCAACAAAAAATATATCTAGTTAAAATTCAAATCCAATATGCAACCTAAATTTAATATACAGTTCGGATCCAATACCTTTAACCCTAATAACAACTAGTAACGGGTCAACCCAACCCCCAACCCTCCAAATTCACTTTGCACCCAATACAGAAAACGAAAAAATCTTTACTTATTATCAGAAATCAGTGGAGTAATATTAATAATGGAGGACGTATATCACTACAAATGGTTATTAATACCACATTTTAATTTATACATATAGCACTACAAATAATTAAATCAAACATAAATAATTCCATCATTTAAAATCAAATAATAAAACAATGGTGGACGTATGACACTATAAATTATTAATGGTATTGTAAAATCAAACATAAATTAATAATAGTTGTGAATTCCAATTAATTTGTGTTATAAAGTTACTCCTTGATCAATTTAAGAATTCTTCACAAACTAATGACAATGTGTACAATATATCTTTCTCATTTTATATAATTTTATATTATATGTGTCATTTTTATGTTATAATTCAACTAATTTTTTTATTTTTTCTTAAGGCATGGAAAAAATATTTTAAAAGAAAAACAACGACAGAGAATTTATGCTCGATAAAAAAAAAGATTTTTAAAAGTTGACTTAGAAAATCTTCAAAGGGATCCCGAAAAATACCAAATATCTTAGAATATCATTCTAATGATCATGAAGAATTTCGAATGACTTATTTGTTAAAAGGTCCTTGCCAACTAAAAGAACAAAAGTTTCCTAAGAAGAAGTGTAATGATAAATTATGAAGTCTCAGTCCTAAATGGTTCGAAGAGCATAAAAGTTGGTTAGAATATTGGACTCATCTGTCAGCTACAATTGATTGCGTTCGATTCCTTTTGCGACAAGGATTGACTTTTCATGGATACGATAAGTCTCATAATTCTTGTAATCAATATAACTTTTCTGAGCTTTTGCAGTTTCTTGCTACTCATAATGAAATTGTTAACAAACTTTTCAAAAATGCTCGTGACAACCTTAAACTAGTAGCACCGACTAGGGGTGAACGTTCGATTAATTTGAGTCAAAATTTTTTGAGTTATTCGAGTTGACGAGTCCTATTTTACAACTCAGACTTGATTTGAATTTTTTTCTAGTAGAGTCGAGTCGATTTTTCAAGTTTGTTTAAATTTAATTGTAAATATTTATAATATTATAATATTATTTGATTACAATTTAAGTGACTTTCTATAACCATATATATGTATAATACAAACATATTTTTTCATATGTGATATACATATATCATACAAAGCCCAATAACTCGACTCAAGTTTGAAAATTAATCCACTAATTGCTAAAAAATTTGAGTTACATTTTACAACTCAATTTGAACTTGGAATTTTTTTGAATCGAGTTTATAAAATTACAACTCAAAGTCAATCGAGTTGATTTTTTCGAGTCTACGAATTTTGTTTTCGAGTCGATTCGAGTTTTGCTCACCCCTAGCACCGACTATACAAAAATTATTGTTAGTGCAACTGCTAGTGAGAATGTTTGTACAATAATTGATAATCTTGGAATTTTTCTTTGCTATTCTATTTGGCTATCATTCTACGGTACGTAGATAAAAAAGGAAGAGTTGTCAAACGATTTATGACTAGGAAATTTTCAAGGGAGTTAATAGATTACGAACCTGAGATCGAAGCACTTGCTCAGAGAATACAAGGAAAAATACTTCGGGGAAGGAGACATCAATGTCAATGCAACAACAACCATAACCATATTCAGGCGCAATCTCCAACGCCGAAACACACTTCATGTACAAAGAACCAGTTCTGATGGTTGATCAAACAATTCGAGAACAAGCTACGGCACATGCTGTACAACAACCGCTATGCATCGCATTCCCACATGGTAAAACACCATTCAAACTTAAGACGGGTCTAATCCATCTTCTACCGATCTTCCATGGTTTGCCAAATGAAAACCCGCACAAACATCTCACGGGATTTCACATTGTTCACTCAAGCATGAAACCACAACGAGTATCTGAGGATCAAATTAAACTTCACGCTTTCCCTTTTCCTTAGCTGATTTGACTAAGGATTGATTATTTTATTTACTGCCTAATTATGTTACTACATGGGCACAACCTATTTTATTAATAAAAATATTAACATTATATATTGAAACTTATTTCTTAGTGAACCATGAAATTCTTAGATGCAACCGTATTTCTTATAACCGTTCATAACATTTTTCAGCTTTTAACTTATTTTGCTATCATGAGAAAATTTAAGGCTCCATCAACTTAAATTCTGATAACACTTTAGGCGCAACTGATTTATTAATAAAAATATTAACATTCCAGATTGCAACTTACTTTTTTAGTGAACCATAACATTCTTGGGCTCAACTTATTTTATTAATAAAAATATTAATATTACAGATCACAACCGTATTTTTTATATATATTCATAACATTTTCAGCTTTTGACTTATTTTCTTATCGTGGGAATGTCTAAGGCCTCATCAACTTAAACTCTGTAACCTTTTAGGTGAAACCTAATGAAACACCCTAATCCAATCCAACATGAAGATCCATGAATCATGATGCCACATAGAACCACCGAAATGGTCAAGCCGATTTTTTTTTCAAAACAATTTACATTTATCAAAATCATTCATCATACCATAAGCAGAATCATATTAAAGTTTACAAAATGAGAGAGTTTCCCAAATACGTACAAATAGAACCCATAAGTTTAAAATCAAAATAGAGTTAGACTCGAATAAGTACAAAATCCATATAAAATGCATCCCCTCTAAAACAGACTTAAGACATACTCTACAGCGGTTGATCTGGAATATACTGATGTGATAGGCTCCTCGACAATCCCTTTACTAACCTGCGCACAGAAACACATTCCATACGCTGAGCTCACAAGCTCAGTGCCACAATAATAACTTGTTATAGTTTTTGAGATATAGAAAGCATTCAAGAAGATAGAAGAGAAATAGAGATTTCAGAGGAAGGAAATTCTTCATTCATAACTTGAGAAATCAAATGTCTCTACCGTAGTATTATTTAGTTACAGGGCTAAAAATGTAAATTGAAAATATGCTAGTTATCTGTCCTTATAACAACTTATAACAGACTAATTTTTATCTTCTTTCTCCTTGCAGGTTATTGGGCCACATGACCTGGGCTGCTTCAACTCATCTCGGGCTGGAGACTTGGGCGATTCGACTCTGCATGGTCCGGGTAATTGGGTGACTCTAATTCAGAGGGTAAGTACATCATACCCCTTTCCCGTGTTTCAATCCCTAAATCCCCCTTTTTAATTCCATCTCAAGCCTCAATCCCTAATCCTTAACCTCTACTTACCACAATTATTTCCCCAATTCATTCTTCTCATCCACGCTCATCTCCTCCAACTATAACAATACCTACCGCTGGGAAGGATCCTTGTCCCCAAGGATCAAACCCAGGAAACTGGTCTCGAAGAACAGTATAGTCTTCCTATGTATCACTGGTTTCATCGAGGTTTGTCCAGCGCCTACGTTACAAGTTTGTTTTGTCTATTTATTATTAGTCTACCCATAACCTTATACGACTCAATTCGAATTTGACCATCATAGTCCATGGCAGGAGGGTAAGTTGAAGAGACTGTGGAGTCACCAACGTGTTTCTTCAGGAGGCTCACAAGAAAAATAGGGTGTAATCTGAAAGAATCTGGTAAGTCCAATCGATACGTGACCTCACCAATTTTCTCAATAATTTTGTAAGGTCCATAGTATTTCACTGTTAACTTTAAATTCTTGCGCAGGGCCAGTGAAGTTTGACGACAGGGTTGCAATTTCAGGTAAACATTATCTCCAACTATAAATACTTTTTTTGTCATTTTTTTTCATTTTTTGTCTGTTTGTTGTTTCATTCTATTGCTTGCAGGCTCTAGCTATAGCTTCACTAACTGTCTAATATCCTCTCTGCTACGCATTAATTCACTAGTAGACTGAACATTAGTTTTTGCTTGCCAAACCATAGTAGGAGGTTTGTAGCCATACAATGCCTCCAATGATGTAAGCTTTAGGGCAGTATGATAAGTAGTGTTTTACCACCACTCTGCATGTGGCAACCACTTAGCCCTCTGCTTTGGTTGAAAAAAACATAAGTCCCTTAAATACTGTTCCAGGCACTGATTCACTCTTTTTGTCTGACCATCAGTCTCTAGATGGTAAGCAGTACTAAATAGGGTTTTAGTGCCTAGTTGCTTCATT